GAGGAGGAGGAGGAGGAGGAGGAGGAGGAGGAGGAGGAGCAGATGGAGGAAGAGAAGGAGGAGAAGGAGAAGAAGGAGAAGAAGGAGAAGGAGAAGAAAGAGGTAGGAGTCACACTTTACACATTTCAAAAGTTACTAGGAAGAAATGATATTCAAGATTATGGTACAGGCACAGTGATAGGCACAGAGATCAATGGAATATAATCAAAAGTCAAGAAATAAATTAATAAGTATATGGCCAACTGACTTTCAACAAGAGTACCAAGACATTCAACTGGGGAAAGTCTTTTGGACAAATAGTTCTAGGACAACTGGACAGCAACATGCAAAAGAACAGAGTTGGTCTCAACTCATAGAACATACAAAACTAACTCAAAATGGATCAAAGACCTAAACTATAAACTATAGAACTCTTAGACAACAGGGGTGAATCTTTTTTACTTTGAATTTGGTAAAAGATTCTTAGATATGACACCAACATTGTGAACAACAAAAAACAATTTAGCTAAGTTGGACTTCATCAAAATTAAAAACCTTTGTCTGTTGAAGGACATAATCAATAAATAAAATCACAGAATGAGAAAAAAACTGCAAATCATATATTTAATAAATGACCTCTACCTAGAATATATAAAAGAAGCAAACTGAAGAATGATACACGTATGATTTAATTTATATCATACTTTAAAACACGCACACCAAAATAGATATGCTCCATCTAGTTCAAAAATTGAGATAAACAAAAATATAGATTTTAAATAAATCAATAAATACAATTTTCCTTAAACTTACAATCACTGACATATAAACATGATATTAAAATATAGTATTCAATGAATCTACACAGGAACTTTTCTTTGATTTAGGACCATATTCCTAAAGGATTTTATACCACAGAAAAGTAATATTTCCAGCACAGATTTCCTCTGAATGAGGATCTGAGAAAATGACTGCAATCTTGGTATTTGTGTCTCCTTAACATGTTTCTTACAGAAAAAAATAAATTATTCAAGACTGGCACCTCAGTTCACATTTCAGTATTTTATACACCTAGTTAAATACTAACATACTAGATTCTTCTTCTTTAGGAATTAGATCAAAGAAGGGGATAAATAATATCTTACACATATCGAAGAGCTGAGAACCCTGCTGTTTAAAGTTAGCCAAGACAGTGTGATGGGCTCAGTCTTTCCTCCAAAAAAATTACTTTGCCAAAAGGTCAGAAAATGTTAGACACTAGGGGGTTTTATACCAACAACCAGATCTCTCAGAAGAAAATGTCAATGTCAAAATTGCAGAAGGAGGTCAGCTTCTTTCCATTTGTTATTCAATTCCTCCATTTTCTGGAGAAAGAGTTTGGGCCACTTGGAAATGTGTTCTAGAGTATGCTTAGGATCTGAACATGCAACCATTCATATTCTGGAGCTTGGATTTAGAGGAAGTGTCAGAAAGTTTGCAGACTTACATGATTCAAACCTTGAGTAATTCAAGACTCATCTTCTCAAAAGAGAAATGTAACAGAAAATACATCTTAATGTACATATATTTTCATGTAAAATAGGAAGTAAACATTAATGGAGCATACAGACCAACAAGTACTGTTGCTTTCAAGTATATTTGTTTCATGGTTTTTAAAAAAGATCTCTTAGCATTATCTCTAATATTTTGCAGAAATTAAAAGTGTAACTCAACAATTGCTTAACTTTTTTGACATTTTATCCCAGAACATCTAACTTCATAAAATAATGGAAAGGAAGAGAGCTTTAAAAATATTTGTATAATATTTTCATTGAATATATTTTTAAAGTAATCAAAAAAAGGAAGATTCATAACAAAATAATAAAAACTAAAAATAACAAAATAATCTCTGAAATTACCACAGAAGTTCTAATATAAACAACAGCATTAGCTTATTTGAAATTACAAAGTATGTTAGGCATTTCTGTTTGCCAGCTAAGGTGGCACTTTTCTGTGACAGCAAGATAGATATAATTTATAATTCATTTGTCATCTAGCCATGAAACTATAAGAATTCTGATTAATTCTTTTAATTTGAGAAAGAAAATCTGTTTTTATTTCAAAATATTCACATAAAGTGAGATTTTATTAATAATTTATATTATACATTTCAAGTTTATATAAATCATATTCCTATTAAGTATATCCATAATATATATGAATCTGCAGCTGACAAATTAACACCACAGCAATCAGACAAGCTTTCCTTTATAAGGTCTAATAGGTCTTGTCATAAAGAATGGAAATTAGCGCTTTCAATTTTATATAGGAATGGAAGATATTAAAAATATTAAGACAACTTTAATCTATGAAGCTTTTATTCTGGGATTTTCTTACTGTTTTTAAAGGAAATTCTGATCTGGATTATGTCCAGTGGATTTCCTGGAAAGGATTTCTTGATGTGGGCCTGTCAACCACCCCAAGTCCCATCTTTAGGGAACAGGAGATGATGGGGTCTGCAATGAGCAATGTGTTTTGTGGAGCTTTTTGGCGCTACTCTGGGGATCAAAGGTACAAATCTTCCTTTACTTTAGATAGGCTAAATTTCAAGGGCTACCCTTTCTTTATACTGACACTTCATGTCTGTAATTTATAGGAAGAAAGGTTGACAATGCAGACTGTGTAAAATGGGGGAAAAAAAAAAACCCAGACAGAAAAGAATATAAAATAGCACATGACAATGGAAATTAAAGTAGTAAGAACAAAACATCAACCGGCAATGGTACTCAGAGAAGACAATACAAAGTAACTCAACCATAAAGGATGAAGCAATAATTCTTAAAGATAATCAGTAAATGTCCTGTGCCACTGAGGAAGCAGAAATGGGTTTCTTTGTGAGGGTCTGTAGTCAAAGAACCAGGAAGAGAATACTCTTAGTTATGCACAGACTACATGACCTGTCTGCAAGTCATCAGGAAAAGAAAGACTTAGAAGTCATACCAGATTCAATGCCTACCCATATGCGTATCTTGGAAATTACACCATAGGAAGAAAAACATTACTGAGACAGACACACAGTTCCTGCCCTTGAGAAGCTCATTGTTCTGCAATTCTTCTTTATCTCTCTCTCATCTCCCATATCCTGTGAACAGAAATAGAAACTGGTCTCTCTGCTTTTCCATTTCCTGGGTTTAATCACAAAGCCTAGTAGGGTTAATTCATTTGATTAAGGAATAGCATAAATAAGAAGGAAAATATGGTCTCAGTCACAGCTGGGTCATTTGGTTTGGTGACAAGAGAAGAGTATTCTTTTTGAGTTTCACAGTCCATCAATGGACTCGGTTAGCATGGGACCATGGATATTAGTTCTGAGCAGGAAGAGGTGTGCTTATCCCTAATGCAGCACTTATCATATGCCTGTAACTACTAGTTTGCTTGTCTGTCTCACTCACTTGACTCTGGTCCCCCGGTGAACAGGATCAATTTCGTGTTCACTCTTATATTCCTAGAACATGACAGAGAAGCTTGTGATTCTAACTCTGGCTGCACATCATAGTCACCTGTGGCGCTTTTGACAAAAAA